AAGTTTCTATTTCTATAAATGCATCTAGAAATAGAGGCTGTTAAGGTTTTGTTGTAATTCCTTCTGGTAAAATGATATAGGCCATAAATGCAGAACTTTAAAAAAAAAAAATAGGGGCTCGATCCCTGCTGTGCCATGCTGGCCCCACCTCCGGGGTGCACTGAGATGGCGATTGAGACTGGGCTGGGTGGCGTGCGCCTGTTATGCCAGCTCTTGGGAGACTGAACATAAGTGGATCACTACAAGTCCGACCTATGTAGTGAGACCCTGTAGACCCTGTACTAAAATACAAAAAAAAAAGAAAGAAAGAAAAAGAAAAAGATAACCAAACAGCCTGGGAATGTTCTGGAGTTTCCTTTCAAGCACTGATCAGCTTTCATCACAGTGGCTGATTCCAGACAGACAGGAATGTAAAACTACATTGGCAGCTTCAAGGGTCTCCAACCACATTCACCGTTGTAAAGCATTTCATTGCTTTTAATATTATCAAAGCATTGATTTTCAATTTTTGTTATTTCAATAAGTATGTTAGTTTCATGCTCATAGTTCCAAGAGGTCAGGCAAACTACTGTAACCTAGCTCTTCTAGGAGGCAGCAGGGTCCACCAACCTGCCTAGGGCCACTTGGCTAAGGAGTGGTCTGTACAGACTCAGGTCCATGTCGTTGGTCACTAAGGTCACTCTGGGTTTGAAAACAACAGAGACAGTTTTGTCAGAGTGGTTAATTATGGCTCTTCCACTGTCAGCACCTTCCCTGGTATTATGGGGGCTGAGCTTATTGTACCTCCCAGAATAAATAGAAACACTGCCGCAGGGTCTTGCTGTGACTGACTTTATTTGTTCAGAGAAAGGTTACTCTAGTTACTCTTCCTGACCTCTTCATCCCTGGCTATGTAAGAGAGAAAGAAATAAGACTGAAATGTGGCTGAATAATTTGACCAGAGCACATTTCACAAATTAACTACAAAAAATATAATTATGGTTTAAATCTATCATGACCCCTGAATTCACACATGACTGGATTATGGGGTGATCCAGTCATATGTGATAAGAACAGTGGCTGATGCCTGTAATCCTAACACTCAGGAGGCTGAGGCAGGAGGATCATTGCAAGTTGGAGACCAGCCTGGGCTGCAAAGTAAGCTCAAGGTAGCCTAAACTGCAGAGTGAGACCCTGTCCAAAATGAAAAGAAAAAAGGGGGGCGGGGGGGCTGAGTGCTGTTAGGAGACAGCTTGTTGGAGGCAGGTCACTAGGTGATTCTTGTCAGTGGCTCCTCCCATTCCTGTCTGCTTCCTGGCTGCCGTGATGTGAGCAGCTGTCCTCTGCCTGGCCTCTCCTCCTGCGTTGGAGCGGACCAGCCATGGGCTGAAAACACGAGCCTTCTTTTGAGTTGTGGGAGTGAGGAGTCCAGTCACAACTCACACCACAGGCGGGCTCAACCACCATACTTCTGTGGACTTCAAAGCTGACCTGAGGCTCCAAGCGGCACAAAGAGGTCGACGTGTCCCCCTTCTTCCTCGGTTGCCACATGACTTCCCAACTTCTCCCAGAAGTCTCTCACTTCAGGCCTCAGTAAATTTTTAATACCAATTTTATAGCCTGAGGGGGAAAGTCAGAATGTCATATTACCTTTAGTATTATCACGGACAGAAGGTCTCAGCGGAGTGAAGAAATAAAACTGCACATTCCAAAGGCTAACAGCTGCCCACAGGCCCAAGATCTCCAGGACACTGGAGACCACGAGGGTGGCGGCGGTCTCCTCTGCACTCTGGATTAGCCGAGTCTGTGTCCTCAGGCGCAGGACACGGTGTTCCCACCTCCCCTGGGCAGCTGTGCGAGTTACCCTGCTAGTGGAATTTAGGGTGTAGTTGAGAGAAGTGAGTCTCCCTGAGATGCCGAACATGAACTGAAAGCCCCCTTTTTCTCTCACTGCCAGGGGGTGACTCAGAGTCTCACTCTGCCATCTTGTGAGCTTCCTGCCAGCTGGATCTGTGACCACATTATCCCGTTAGGGTCCCCTCTGGATGTCCCGTAAAGCCTCACTGCTTGCAAGTGGAGCTTTTGGACAGCGATGGAGTCCTGTGTTGGAATTGCAGCTAACCGTGCTGTTAGGAGGTAGGGCCTTACCAGCAGAGGGGCGCGCGCACTGGGGTGCGGTGTGGAGGCGCACCCCCTCTGCGGCCCCTCCCACCTCTCCAGGCTTCCTGGCCACCATGGGTGAGCTGCTGTCCCCCACCCAGGCCTCGGGCCGTGCCTCTCTGTGCAAGCCTGCCTTCCACGGGCTGAGACGTCTGCCACAAGCCAAGCAAACCTCTCCTCTTTGAGGTGTTGTGTATTCTCTTCCCAATGACAAAGAAGATGCCTAAGACAGCCCCACTTCCCTCAACCTCCAAGGATGGAGGATTTGGTGACAGCAAAATTTAAGCCATTTCTACTTGTGGTACTAAACCAGATGTTAGCTATCTGAGGGAGCAAGAGACTAGAAGTTTACCTCTAAACACTCATCACCTCCTGCCCCCAAAGGGGGACACTGTGATTCTGCCCCTAACAAGCGAATTACATCAGCCATTCCTCTCCTCTGTGAGTGGGCTGAGTGGAGGACAACTGAGGCAGCCAACTGAGGCAGCCACTGCCCAGCACTATACAGGCTTGATGCTGGTCGATACTGCAGTGACTTCCTGTGCATCCTGTAAAACTTCTCCGCATCGAAGCATAGAATCAACAGAGTAAAAAGGAAACTTGGAGAATGGTAAAAAGAAAGGTAAAGAATATTTGTAAATCATATGCCTGATGAGAGATTGATATTTAGAATATATGAAGGCTCTCATACACATGTAATATGTAATATATATATATATTTTTTCTTATATATATGAGAATATGAGAGTACATACCTGCATCTCAACTCATGTAAAAATCAAATTACCTGAATACCAAACATGAGCACAGGCCCTGAGTGGCCCCTTCTCTACAGCAGACTTTAGGCAGTCAGTGAGCGCATGAAGAGGTGCTCAGCATCACCCACTACCAGGAACCTACGAGTCCACATCCACCGGACAACCCCCATTAAAAGAGAAAAGGCCGAGTGAAGGGCTGAGGAAACCTGGAGCCCTGTGCATGACTGACGCAGCAGCTATGGAAGCAGTGTGGAGCCGTCTCGAGAAATTAAAAGGAAATTACCACGGACTCCAGCGATCACACCTCTGGGTCCACATCTAAACCAATTGAAGTGAAGAACTCCAGCCAAGTGAGGTGGCATATGTCCGCCATCCTCTTTACTCAAGAGGCTGGACAGGAGGTTATAAGTCTGATGCCAGCCCGGTACCTGCCAGAGGGCCCTACTGCTAGCTAAGGATGTAGTTCTGTGGAGGACGCTTTCCCACCATGCACAGCCCTGGCTCCAGTCCCCAGTACTGGGGGGCAGAGAGCCTCAAAGAGATATTTGCAGACTTGGCATTACTCATAATAGCCAAGAGGTGAAAGTGACCTATATGGCCACCAATGGATAAATTGATAAACCAAATGCACTATACACATGCAGTGGAATATTATGTGGCCTTTAAAAAGGAAATCTTGTCACACATGCCACAACATGGGCTGAACCTTGAGGACAGTGTGCTAAGTGAAATACTTCAGTCCTTAAAGGCCATCACGCATGATTTTGTGTCCATGAGTAAGGTAACTAAACTCAGTATGATGGTGGTTGGCCAAGGGTGTGGAGAGGGGAAAGGTGAGCTATTGTTTGATAGATAAGAGTTTTGATTTTGCAAAATGAAAACATTCTGGAGATCTGGTTGCTGTTTGAGTGTACTTTCCATGTGTGGTGGCACACACACCTGTGAACCCAGCACTCGTGAGGCTGAGGCAGGAGGATCAAGGTGAGTTTGAAGCCAGCCTCAGGTACATGGTGAGTTCAAGGCCAGCCTGAACTACATAGGGAGACCTTGTCTCTCTCTCTCTCTGACTCTCTCTCTCTCTCTGTCATTCTCTCTCTCTCACTCTCTCTTTCTCTCACACACACATGAATGAGTATTCTCAATACCACTGAATTTCTATACTTTAAATGGTTAAGACAGTAGTGGCTTTTACGTTGTTTTAATCATAATTTTTTAAGGTTATCAAAAGTTGCTTCACTCTTTCCATACAAAATCAGTATTTCTCAACAGATTGGAACCTAAATAGTACTCTGAAAGCGCAGAAATGAACACTCCCTATGCACTGGGTTGTTCGGCTCTTCTTTGCCAGTCCCTACCTTGCAGTAAATTGATTTCTCTGCTGTCTCCCTCGCTGAATATCCCCACACTCCGCGCCTTCCTCCCGGCCAGCGCTCGCTCTGTGAGGTGAAGCAGGCCGTCCAGAGTCGTGCCGCTGTGCTCGTAGACCACAGAGAGGACGCCGGCCTGCACGCTGTCCACCACCAGCTGCAGAGCGAAGCCACAGCTTAGCAACTGCACCCGCGGACTGAGAGTGGTTAGCAAGACAGGATTGCGAGGGCTACGCCTACGCTGTGACTGCTGAAGAGCGTTTCTTAGACATTATAGAAGTTTAGCTTCCTCCTTCATAGCTTTCTTTCTCTTTTATGAATTTAGGACAGAGTTTACAGGATGTACAGGGTCTCGCTATGTAGACTGGACTCATAGTGATCCTCCTGTTTTCAGCCTCCCAAGCCCTGGGATTACAGGTGCGCGCCACCATGTCCAGTCTCTTGTTTCTTCTTATTTTATTTCTTTTCTTTTTTTAAACATTTATTTATTTATTGATTGTGTGTGTCCAGCTCAGCCCACCAGGGGGTGGGGCTGGCTGGCATGTGGTGCTGGGGGATCGAACCGCGGTCCCTGTGCTTTCCCAAGCTTGTTCCAAGTAGGTGCTTTAGACCACTAAGCCATCTCGCCAGCCCCTATTTTATTTCTTTTCTAGTTATAAAAGAAGAAACTGAACAGTACTTATAACTCCATCTCTCAGAGATAAATGTGGTTAGCAATTCAGGTTGTCTCACCCCAGTGCTTTTTATGCTTGGGCACACCCTGCACAGAGACACACATACAACTTTAAAAAATACTAGCAGCAAAATCATACAGTTTTGCAAAAGACTTTAAAGTTTTTCCTCTTAACTATGAATTTTAGGATTACGAATGTCAATGGATATTTTCCATTTAATTTAATGTTAAAACCATTGCTCTTCAGATTTAACAGCCAAACAAACCTTTCAGTAGGATAAAGTCAATTGGTCACAGCAGACGGTGAAGTCACTGAAGTCCTTGGGTTCTTTTTCAAAACTTCATGCCACTGTCTATTCTGTTCAGCTGAACAGTGAAACACCACATAGTCATACCCTACTTTTTCACCCCCCACCTCCCTGATTGGTGATCAAAAAAGTAGTCATGCCGCGCTGAGGAGATAGCTCAGTGGTTTAAGTGCCTGCCTGGCAAGTGCAAGGACCGGGGTTCGATACCCAGTACCGTATGCTGTGTAGGCCACTGAAACTGGGCATGATGGCACACAGCTGTAATCCCAGTGCTGTGGCTGAGACAGGAGGATCACTATGAGTCCGAGCTGTGTAGTGAGACCCTGTACCAAATAAGTAATAAATAAAATATTTTTTTAAAAAAATTTTTTTAAAGTAACCATGCCGTCAGCTTACGCAGAGAAGGCACGTAAGGGCATGAAGTTAAGCAATGCGCTCACCTCTGCCGATCCCCAGCTGCTCTCTGCACCCATACAGTGCTTCTCAAGCACGATCTGTAGCTCTCAGATCTCAGCTCAGACTCATCTCATGAGGTTCTGTGGGCTACCCACTCTCAGTCATTAGAGCCAACTCCTGCGTGGCCAAAAGGAGTGAGTACATGGGCTGGCTAGATAGCTCAGCAGACTAAAGTGCTTGCTTAGGCAAGTGCAGCAGCCAGGGTTCAATCCCCTCAGCATGCTGTGCTGGCCCCGCCCCTGGGGTTGGCTGAGACAGCAATTGAGACGGGGCGTGGTGGCGCTCCTGCACCTGTAATCCCAGTGCTTGGGAGGCTGAAAACAGGAGAATCACTACGAGTCCAATCTGTGTAGTGAGACCCTGTACAAAAAAATAAATAAACATTTAAAAAAATAATTAAAAGGCTGGCCAAATAGCTCAGTGGATTAAAGCGCCTGCAAGCAGGCACAGGGGCAGGGGTTTGATCCCTGGGCCTGCCATGCCGGCTCTGCCCCCGGGGCCGCTGAGATGGCAATTGAGACTGAGTGTGGTGGCGCACACCTGTAATCCCAGCTCTTGAGAGGCTGTAAACAGGTGGATCACTGGGAGTCCGATCTAGTAGTGAGACCTTGAACACCCTGTTGACCCTTCCCTAAAAATACAAAAAATAAAATAAAAAAAGTTTAAAAAGTGGGTGCCGGGGAGATAGCTCAATAGAATAAGCGCTTGCTTGGCAAGCGCAAGGGCCTGAGTTCAATCCCCGGTTCCAAAAAAATAAAAAATAAAAAATGAAAAGAACTGCATGCAGAGCTGCAAGGTTCCGATTGTGTCACAAACAGAAAGCCCTCTAAGTTGTCCAGCGCATACAGCCTCCTGAGTGTTGCCCTCCTAGCTCCCTGTGTGTGTACACTTCCACATATCTCAGTGTGTCCGTGTATACATGTGTACCTGCCCACATACACGAATATGTCCTGACTTACAGTGGAGTTAGACCTCAGGGAGCTCATTTGCAGCTGGAAACATTGTACGTGGGGGACGCACTGCACGTGCCTAACCCGGCGCACAGCCTCGCCTAGACACCCGGCACACGCTGATGTGGCTGCGACCTCGTGACAGCGACCGAGGTCCCCGTAGCTCTGCCACCAGCATCACAGGCAAGGACCCCGCCGCAGGGCCCGCTGCAGGAAAGGTCAGCACTCAGAATTCAAAGCATGGTTTCTACCGAAAGCGGCTCAAGGAGGCATGGTGATGAAATCGACAACTCAGCAACCAAGTTGCGGTAACTCAGGGACCTTCGGAACGTGTACAGCAAGCGCCCATGTCCTTGTGCGTCTCCCAGGTGCCACTTCTATTTTTCATGTTTATATTAAAATTTAAAACTATGACTTCATTATATAGAAAGGATATTTTAATTCAATGACATCCTCATTAAATAAATCACAAAATAGGAGTCCAAACGGTCGTCTTCTGAGAGACACCATTACATAACAACATTCGTTCTGTGAAAACTCCAGAGAACTTTTAAAATAATTCTTAATCAACCTTTTTTTGGTTGTTGTTAAATTAAGTGCAGCAAGTTCTCTTCAGTAAGAATGTTTTAGACACCTACTAAGTGCAGATGGTCTGAGCCTCTAACTTTTTTTCAAAATAAGTTTGATTTGGGAATATTGCTTTTAAGACTGGAGGTTCTGTAAATTTCCAAATTAAATCAAACAATATGTCTTTTAGAAGATGGATTATCTTCAGACATGTAGTGACCAAAGATAATGACATTGTCTGTTTTAGGTGGAAAAAAGAAAAAAACAAATCCGCTCAGGAAAGGGCTGGCCTTGTGCCCAGGCTGTACCTCATATGCAGGGACCCGAGACGATATTAATATGAAGTGCGGCTGCAGAGTACATGAAGAGCTGTCATCCTTTTTATGAACTCCGTGCCAATTTTTCTTTGACAATGAAGGGTAGGAATGGCTTCCAGAAATATTGCTTCTACAAGGAACAAAGAGAACTCCTCAGGTTCTAATATTCTCGTAATTTGACCTGGATAAGAGGGCACCAATGTCCTGAAGGTATCCACTGTGCCACACAGGACGCCTGGCCTCTATGGTTTAGACCCTTTAGGGACTGGGGACACCAACCAAATGGCCTGTGTGGAGGTGGAATGTAGCTCAGAGGAACAAATCTGCCTTTGGGCCATTGGCTGCCTCATGTGGGATGCTGAGAGGGTGGCTTAGAGCATATACGTAACCCTAGGAGGCTGAGGCAGGAGGATTGTAAGTTTTTTTTTGTTATTGTTGTTATATTTTAGGGAAGGGTCTGCAGAGTGTGCACTGTCTCACTACTAATTGGCCTCGTAGTGATCCTCCTGTTTGTAGCCACCCAAGAGCAGGGATCACAGGCCTGCACCACCACGCCCAGTCTCAATCACTGTCTCACCACACCCTGGGGGGCAGGGCCCGCACCACTGGCCAGGATGGAACCCCCCACCCCATTCCTGCACCTGCTTGCAGGCGCTTTAATCTGCTGAGCTGTTTGGCTAGCCCCTAAGTAAGTTTGAAGCCTGCCTGGGCAACTTAGTGAGACCCTGTCTCAGAATAGATAAAAAATGAAAAGGGCTGGGATGTAGCTCTGAGGCACAGGTTGTGGCTACTATGTACAAGCCCCTGGGTTCAATTCTTAGTACTGCAGAGAGAGGCCGGGGAGATGGCTCAGTGGACTAAGCACTTCCCTGTCAAGCTCAAGGGCCTGAGTTCAATCCCTGGTTCTGCAAAAAAAAAAAAGTACTGCAGAGAGAGAGAGAACAGGGAGAAGAGAGAGAATGTTTACAAACATAAATAGGAATTATATATGGATCTACTTGGATACTGCTATACTTTGGATCTGGAGTGACCCCAAAAAATTCATATGGTGATGCCTGGTTGACAGGGTCTGACAGGGTCTCTCAGTTTCTGTCTGTCTGTCTGTCTGTCTGTCTGTCTGTCTGTCTCTCTCTCTCTCTCTCTCTCTGGTGTTGATTTTTCAGTCTTCTATGGCCACACACTGTTGCCCTCTTCCATGTGTCACCCTGCCTTGCAGCCAGCAGATTATGGACTGAAACCTCCACAAACTGTGAGCTAAGTAAACCTTTCCTTTCTTAATTTTTGAGCATTAGGTATTTTGTCTCAGCCACTAGACAAGTAATTAAGACACAGTTTAGTACCAAATGTGACTATGCCTGACCACGTGGTCCAGCAGCCTTTGGGAATGGCTTGTGGGAAGAGTTCAGAAAGGTTTGGAGACAATGATTGAAAAAGCTGTGGCACCTTAGGTTGTTCTGTACGGGAGATTCTGGTCAGAGCTTCAGAGACCAGAATGCTGGCAAAGACCAGGCTCGGGGTTCTTCTGGGAAGAAGGACCACAGTGGTTGTTGGGCTCTAGCTGATGGGTGCAGGAAGTTTGTGTGCACTTTGCTAATGTCCAGAGACTCCCTGAGACTGAGATTAATGGCAGTGGCCTTAATCTGTGTGCTAAACACTCCTTTCGTGATGACCTGTGCTGCCACAGGCCCAAGCAGGGACAAGTGAAACCTCTGTAACCATGGGCCAAAATAAACCTCTCTCTTCATTTTAAGTTGATTTATCTCAGGTCAGAACAACAGAAAGCTGAGTAACATGGGCAGTGCTTAGAAACCCACCTCCATAAAAAAGAAAACAAAAAAGGATTTAAAACAGTATTTGCTCAAAAACTTTATATAGAAAATAGGGGTTGGGAGATGGCCCAGCAGAATAAGCACTTGCCTGGCAAGCACAAGGGCCTGAGTTCAATCCCCAGTTCCACCAAAAACAAAAAACAAAACAAAACAAAAAACGAACCAAAAATG